CCTTTCCTAATGAGGTGGATTTCAGACTGGGGCAGGTCCCCGGGGTACCCTGTCCTAATCCAGAAGGACACGATTAGTGGACCTGCCAGTGGGACCCCATCCTGACAGGTTTGACTCAGACGGTACCTGGCGGAAGGTGTGAGGGAGCCATGCAGAGCTGCCAACTACCTCTAATTCTTTGGAAATCCTCTTAGTCTGCCATGGAAACCCAGCTCAGGAGGTCTTCAAAACGACATGAAGTTATTCACTGCAGAGCTTAGAATTTGTTCCTACCAGCATACATGGTATTCTGGCATTTTTAATCCTCCTCTGTGTTACCAGCCAGTTCACTCTCAAGACTGCCCAGGCTGCCCCAGCAGCATGTAGCAAGTGGGCAAACAGACATGCTCTGTCGGGATGCTCACAGTGCAGGTGGGGGGTGTCCTGCCCACCTCTCCCTTCCCCTACACACCAGGAAGGACACAGAGACAGAAGACACCCAAGGAAAGCCCAGGGCTCTCCCACCAGAGGCTCTGACCCAAGGCTGGGGGAGGCCGACAGGGACTGTCTCTCTCAGCCCCTCCTGCTGGAAGCCATGAAAGCCCCAATGCTATCCAGCTCTTCCTTTAACCTTTAGGCTCAGCATAGCGTAATGTCTACCTAGAGGCTGGAATAATAAAGCCTCAGTCGCTGAGACGGGAAGGGATGAGGTCATCCCACCCAGAGGCACTGCCAGGGGAGGCTCGCTCCCTCCAACACAGTTCCTGGGGCTTCCGCCTGTCCAGCTTTCAGCAGCTCTATGCATAGAGCTCCCTTCACCTTCCTTTGGGCTCTTTTGCACCAAGAAGCAGCTCTTCTTCCCAACTTTACAACATCTGAGTTTCCTTCCACGCCAGAGTGATCGTTGTCTGACTGCTGCCCCGTCCCTCCCCTTATTCTGACTCTCCTGCCCTGCTGCCTCCATGTTCCTGCTCTCCTCACTCCCACCAGGGCTTCACAGTGCACAGCACCATGTTTCCATCCGCTGGCCTCCCCTCTCCCCTGTCCCCCACCCCTGTGCCCAGCTCCCAGGTGAGCTCTGGGCTGAGATGCACAGGGCTCGCTTCCTCCGGAGAGGTCCTCTGAGCCCCTCCAAGCAGAGGCTCCGGGGTCCCTGCAGCACAATCACAACCCACAGCCTGCTCGTGGGCTCTACCCACTCATCCTTCCTTCCCGACTAGCTTGAGACTCTGCTTCTCTCCTCCCTTACCCCAGGAATACCCCATCCCCACCTCCTGTAACAGAGCCCAGCTCTACTTGGGAGGCTGGAGAGCACTATGGCCATACTTTGGAATGCAAAGCATATTGATAGCAAGAACTTCTCAGCTTTGTACAGGGTGGGTGCTCAGGACAAATTGGCTGGACCTAATTCAGCTGAGCAAACCACAGGCAATCCACACATGCTCCCCCACGGACCCATCTGAGGACCGAAACAAAACGTCAGGCCTCCCCTCTCTCTAAAAAAATGTACATAAGGCTGCAGATCTCGGGAGACTGATGGACGTCTTAAAGCCCATTTGAAGCCCAAGGGATTCAGGTAAAAAACCATGTTTTATAAGAATGGAGACTGTACCCATAGCCTCAGAGAAGAACATTTAAACATGATGCTTCTAGAAGAAGGAGAGAGGACAGTAGATGGGAGGGTCTTGGGATAGTTTCCATATTTCCAACAAAATAAAACAAAGAAAAAAACCAACTAGCGAAGGCATCTGATTTAAAACTCTGTAAGTGGAGTTTCTGGCTTGGCAGCAGGGCACCCCCTCCAGTGCTTCCCATAAGCTCTGGTCAGGACCGAGACAAGCAGGAGCTCTGCTCCACCAGCCCAGCAGCAAGTGTGTGGGAAAGGCGATGGATGCCAGAGGCCTCTGCTAGCATCCTTCCAGGGCAGTGCGGGGAAGCCTCCCCCTGAGTTTCAGGGACTATCTCAAGCAGTCTTTGCTAGATTCCTTTCCATCACAGACATCTTACCATTTACACCCTGACCACAAAGCCACAGCCCACTGGTCCCTCCAGCTCCTACACCTCCGGCAGCTCGTCTCCCATAAGCCTCAGGCTCCCAGCCTGTCCCACTCGCGCACATTTATATCCCACTGGAGATGTCAGGGCTGCCGGGTTCAAAGCTGCTCACCAGGCAAGGGTTGTGTTCCCTAAATGACGGGGAGCCAGGGCTCTCCAGCAGCACTCACGGGCCGCGCTGTGGACTTCTACACGGCAGTTCTGCTTCTGCTAACAGGGCTCATCGGGAGGCAGAGATCCAAGTTTCCCTGGATGTGGTGTGGAAAGACACACCCAAATGGTACCAAATTCCAGATTTGGGGAGACCGTGGTTCCAGACAACACTGATGTCTGTCCTGTGTCTGGGCTGTTTTAGTGGCTGCCCCATTGATTCTCACCTCCAGGGATGAGGAAGCCCACTAGAGACAGGGCTCTCCCTGCACGGGTCCCCCTGAGCCTTCTCCTGGGTTTAGAGGTGGCACGGGCCGCCCTGCTCCTACGGCACTTTCAGTTTTGCTTCTGCAGCCTCAGCCCTGCCAGGCCTTGGCTGCAACGCACAGCTGGAGAGCCAGCCCCGTTTACCACAAGGAAACCTGCTTCAGCCAAGATCTTGGGCCCAGTTTTGCTGTCCTCGGCAGTTCTAAAGAAGGTAAAGTGGGACGGCCTGCAGGCACCAGCCAAGCCAAGCAGACCAACTGAGCCCCATCTGGAGCTGGGTCCAGGCTCTGCCAGCTGTGCGGGTGGGGCTGGGAAATGCCAACTCAGCCACATTCCAGCCTCTTCCTTACAAAGCCATCAACAGGCAACACTGGGCAGGAAGGGTGAAGCCGCAGTACAGATGGTCTTTCCTACGGGGGCCATGTGAAAAGCCAGGAGGCTCACACAGCCCATCCCACCTCACCTCTATGTTGAATTTCCCTAGGGTAGGGTGGAGCCAGGACAGGGAAGACTCTGCCAGCTGGGATCTTAGAAATCTTCCTTTGGAACTGACACATGCTCATGGATGCCATGGAAGGGCTGTCTCTGAAGGACTGGCCCCGACAGGAGGGACCAAGGGGATAACTCACTCAGCCAACAAACACACATTGAGAATGGCTGTCACCAGTGACACTCACGGGGTCCCCTCTCCCACCACAGAGGCTGCCACAGACACCCTATTCCACTTTGCTGATTTTTAGTTTTGGACAGCACTGCATTTTGCCACCAAGTCAGTCTAAAAAGGGAGTAGATGCCACCCTCTCTTCCATTCTCTGTAGCTAACAAGTCTTGAAATCCCATTGATTTCATTACAGAAGCTTCAGCAAATCACCCCTTCCCCACAACCCAGGCTCTCAGCACCTGTCACACTGACAACTGCTGGAACCTTCCTGCCCACCTTGAGTAAGATACAGCATAGGGTTAAAAGGGCTAGGCACTAGGGACAAAGTAATGTGAAAAATCCAGGCATCATTGCTGGCCCTGAATATAAAAACAATAGTCACTAGACACAGCACACTATCTCAGCCCTAAGTCACATTTAGCAGGGATAAGAAAAAAGCAAGACAGAAGTGCAGTAAACAGAATGTTTACTCCTCATTTTTTAACCTTTACTCTCTTTGAAGCTTGCTGCTGTGCTGTATTTTCTCGTGTCTGACTTCAACAAAAGCTGGTGAGGATCCCTGGGAGAGGTTGCACCCTTGTCTCTCCCTGCAGAGGGCCTGGTGGTATCGTCCTCCCAGGGCCCCTTAGTTCAATGCAAAATGGACTGAGTATGTATTATTATTTTGTATTGAGTTGCACCAACAACCTTGCTCCCTCCAATCCCACTTCCACAGAGACATCAGGAACTGCGACCCTGGCATGACTCACGAGGCCTGGCATCACCTGGGCTCTGCCTGTGCTGCAGCTTCATCTCCTGGCTGCCCCCTACTGCCTCCCCCGCTTAACCCACACTACTTCCTACAAGTCTTCCCACACACCCCACCTTGTCCATGCCTCTGCTAGATGCTCTTATTCCTGTTCCATCCAGGTTGGGGCATTTTCCCATCTGTGGATGAAGTGTCACACTCTGTGTAAAGCCTGCCCTCACCCACCCTGCCTCCCGAAGCCCTTCATCAGCATCCACTATCTCTACAGGTAATAGATTAAGGGGGAGACACTTTCTTTTCTTCACTGCCCAAACATCTTCCCTGTCCCTTTTCCCCACTATCCCCAAATGGGACTGTTTCCCACTGGCCTCAGCTGATGTCCAGTTTTAATTAGCAGACCCCGAGAGCATAAAGGGAAGATTGGATGTGGCTCTCTTAATCTCGTGCCTGCAACCTCAATTCTTTCTGAATTCCAAAGCCAAGGCCAAAACCGTGGAAGCCCAGACTTCTTAATTCTCTTCATCAGCCCTGTCTCAGACCTGCTACCCAATCTCCGGCTGCCCTGTGCCTCTGCTCCTCCCTCATACAAGAAGGGTGAGTGGAGAGGGCCCACCCACACAGCACCCCAGGTTCCTGGGGTTCCCTTTGTAACCACAGGGCCCTGGTTACAAAGAAGCACCTAAACTTGGTGGCTGGATCCAGTCTTCTGCTTAGTCTTTCAGAAATGAGTAGAATGAGTAGACTCTGATGTGTGCCAGAAAGAGGCCTCATCAAGATATTCCATTCTAGATCAGACGGGGATCCACCCACCATCCATCCGGCCTTCTAGCTATTTTATCGTTTAACACATTGCTGAGCACCTACTGTGTGCCAGGCATGATTCTAATTCTGAGAATAAATATAGCAGAGAAGAAGATAGGAAGGCTTCCTCTCTCATTGGGTGGGAGGAGACAGGTGACACATAAACAAGCCAGTGTAATACCAGACAGTGGGGTCAGAAAGGGATGCTGAGGCATAGGGTGCTGGCCAGCTCCTCTATACTGGGCTGTGCCTGAGAAAGTGACATTTATATGAACGGGCAGGGGCTGGTCATGGGAAGACAAGAGCCTCTCTTGTTTGAGGACCTAGAACATAACAGTGGGAAGGAAAGGAGTGTGTGTGTGGAGGGCAAGGGCCAGCTCAGGGACCCGCTCACTCCCCTCTCTCTCCTCCTTGCCCTGCCCCCATCTCTTCCTTGATTCCTAAGCTATTTCTTGGATCATCTAGTCTGTCTCTTGATTAAAAGTCCAGTCTCCAGGTAACGTAACCCCCCAAAGCAGCCTCAAACCTGTCATTCCCATCAAAAGCAAGTATGGCCGAACTGATACGTGCTTCAAATGAACAACATGTCTTGAAAAGAATATTTAAAAAGACTTCCCTCAACTCTAAATTACACCTAAAATAAGTGTTTTTGAAAAAAAAAGAATCCCTTTCCCTGAGGGCACAATGGTATTAGAAACATTATAAATTTCCTAGTTTTTTATTATCTATAAAAATCCCTTCAGCCTGTGATCAGAGGGGAAGGCTGCAATTCTAACTCCCCCGGCAGCAGGGCCCATGGGTGTCCTTGGCCTGTAGTTGAGACCATGTGGTGCTCAAGAGCCCCAGGGAGGAGCCTGCACCTTCCTTAGGGCGGAGGCAAGATGGCTCGGGGGACCTTGAGCTGGTGGCAGAGCCAGCAGCAGCTTTCAGGGGACTGTGGGCAGGAAGCTCTCAGCACCAGCGTGTCTTAGAGTGTGGTCCTTCTTTTCTCTTTTTTCCTTATGTTTTTAACATAAATATCAGAAGCATGTTTTTGCAAGAAACAACAGGCATTTTTTCATATTTTACATGTAATTAACCCGAAGGCATATAATACTGAGCATGCCTCTTCAAATGCCACCCCTTCCCTGTCCTTGGAGATCCTGACGGTAGCCCTCTCTGTCTCAGATACCAAGCCACCTAGAGCAGCCCCCTCTGTGGCCTGCAGCCCCGGCCTCCCTCTCTCTCAGGCTTGGTGCTGTGCTCCTCCCAGCCCCCACCCTCAGGGAAGCAGAAACAGCCAGAGCCGGAAACCAATCTCAGAGCTCACACAGGACTGGGAGATGCTTGAAGAGCAGTTTCCAAGAGTGGCAGCCTTGGCACTCATGTTTTTTCTTTCTTTTCTTTCCTTTCTGTCTCTTTTCATCTTATTGTGGTGCGGACACTGAACATGAGATCTACCCTTATAAACTATATGGTAAGTGCTAGGACAGAGGTGAAGCCCACAGAAGGTGTCTTGTCTAAGTCAGGAGGCGTCCCAGGAGGCTTCCTGGAAGAGGCGACAGCTGAGCTGAGTTTTGAAGCACAGGAAGACGTTAGCCAGTCAAAGAAGAGAGAAACCCATTCCAGGGAGAAGGGAAGAGTATTGTGACACCAAGAAAGCACACATCCGTAGCTCAGGTAGGCTGGGCTGGGGTGGATGGAGAAGGAGGAGGAAGAGGAGAGAGGTAATGATGAGATGGAACAGAACCCTGCTGACAAACTGCTGAGCTGTAGTACAGTCCCATTAGCTAAAGGGCCAGCTGCACAGCACATCCTCTGGCCGGATTAGCAACTCCCCATCCCCTCTACCATAGCTCTAAGCAGCCACCATTCTACTCTCTGATCCTGCGAGTCTGGCTATTACAGACACCCACGTAAGTGGGATCACAAGGCATTTGTCCTGTCACTGGCTTATTTCCCTTAGCATATTGTCCTCAACATGACAGGATTCCCTTCTTACTAATGACCGACTATTATCCTGCTGTATATGTATATACCACTTTTATTCATCCGTTCACAACTTGGCTGTTGTGCATGCTCACTTTGATATGCCATAGAACTGGGTTTTCAAGATGGCTGCCCTTGGTCTGCCTCACAACACAGGAACCATTGACAGCTATGCTTAGAGTCCCAGACCACCCCCCTAAAAACACACCCTGTGGTCCCGCTGTGCTCACCATTCATAATCAGAAGTCTTATTCAGCATGTCTTACAGGCCCTTTGGGGCCTGGTTCCTACCCATCTCTTCCACGGCCCTGGACTAAAAGCTAAAGACAAGTAGCTCCCAAAGAATAGAGAGGCAGGAAGATTTTTGGCAGAAGGCAGGCCAAAGTCACACGCACACAGCTTCGGGAAGAAGACAGACTTCCAGCCCTTGCCCTCACCAGCCCCACTCTCCCAGCCTCCCTGGGCATCTGAAGAGTCAAACCCCCATTCCCTGCGGGTTGCTCACATTCTCACCTCCCACCTCCAGTGGGTGCTGCTGAGTTAATGGCCTGCACCATGTCAGTGGTAAGCGCATCCAGAAGGCTGGTGATAAATTCCATTTTCTTCCCTTCTGGACAGCCTGAAAGATGAAACAAGATTAGAAAGTAGAAGCCAGGCAAATAATCAAGTAAATTACTTGCTCAACTATCATCCTTTCTAACCTTCTTGAAGTCCTTATTCCACAAAATCCACTTTGGGTTGTTTACTGCTCAGACAATTCTTATAAACTTCCATGGCTCCCAGCGTGGGACCATCAGACCAGATGGATAATAAAGGCTTTCAGTTTCTTCCATTCCACAAATGTGTGCTGAGTACCAACTCAGGCTCTCTGATAAAGGCCGGGGATACAACCATGAACAATACACAGTGTCTTCATCTTCACAAAGTTCACAATATACTCAAGCCAATGGCCAAGCAGTCACCTCAGAATGAGAAAATCACTACCATAGAGGTGAGAACCAGGTGCTACGGGCACACAGGGAGGCACAGAACCCCAATGGCTTAAGTTGACTTCACCAACCCAAGCACCTCCTTTTTGCACTTCGCTTCCCATCCAACTTAGATTGTATTTAGAGAATCTCTGTTGCTAATATTGCCAAGAGTGCTCTGCTGCTGTTTTTCTCATTGCACTGTTCCAGCGAAACACAGTAAAACACAGATGCACCTTCTCGTACACATGCCCTTTCCACGTCTACACCCATGTAGCTCAGTGCTGCTTGGGAACATAACCCACACACATCCACACAGATGGGTGTCCCTATAGATTCATGATCCCCAGCACCACGTGCGCCCTCCACACTACACCAGGCATCCTCTCTGCAGCAACTAGCTCATTCTCTTTCTCCCCAAATCCTCCAAGTCTCGGGGTCAACACTTCCTTCACAGAGAAGGAAGACACCTTAGCGATCTCCGTGGCATCTAAAGCAGCGTCTCCCTGCCACTCGCACAGCACCTTGCTCTTCTCCTTCAGAGCACCTGACATACCTGCTTATCAATGTACATATTCATTGAATTGTAGACAATCTGTTTCCTACTCTCTAAGCTCCCCATCAGTTTTGATCACCAGAGCATACCCCACACCCAGCACACACTAGAATCTCAATTCACATTTGTCAAGGGGATGGCTAAAAGGAGCCACCTTGACCTCCACGACTCCATTTTGTGACAATGATTTCTACCAACCTCCCGTGGAAACCCCCTGACTCTCAGGGACTCTTTGCTTTCATTTCTCACTGGGAGTCCCCATGGGTCCCAGCACTGAGCCAACTTAGTGCTGCCCAAAGAGAACAGGATTCCAAGTCACCAATATTTAATAATTTTACCACAATGTGCAGACCGAGATCTCTATGCATAAGGGGAAACCCAGAATAGCAGGCATTTCAACATCTCAGGGTCCCTGCTGTGTGCCTTGTGTCACACCCATGGTCACCTCGCATTACCAGGGGTCATGTGTATCTGCAGGGCAGGTGACAGTTGAAGCCTCACCCCTCATGACAGAACCCTCCTGGTAAGTTATCCTCTCTTCACAGCCCTGGAAAAAATGATTCGCAATCCCCAAACACCCCAATTGCTCTCCGATGGAGGACATGTTACAGAATTTCAGGGACAGGATTTTAGCCTGATGCTACATTTTAAAGATGACGGGGCAAGTGCAGGGAAGAGGAGCAATGCACTGGAGGGTGCGGGACTAATCAGGGACAGATCCCGCCAGGACACAGGTCCCACGGCTGCTGGCTTCATGCTCCTGCGACGCCCTGTCTGGTGATCCCTGCTCCATTGAACAGACAGACCCAGAGGAGGGGATGACATGGGGGTGGGGGCAACAGAGGAAGGGAGGCATCCACAAGCGAAGCTCATTCCCCACCTGGTAGCTCCCTGTCCTTGAAGGGGTCATCAGCCTCCGTGCTCTTGGCCCTGGCGTCACTCTCACAACTGGGCATCACGTAGCTGGAAGAGAGAGACGTGGGGGTTAGGAGGGGTTGGCAACTGAGCCCCCCTCTGTCACTACTGCCCAGCAATTATCTGTGTTGTCACTAAGCCCAACACACCCAGGGTTGGCAGTAAAATATCTCCTGCACTGTCCAACAGCTGCAAGGCCATCTAAGCATAAATGTTCCCATTGAGACATGTTCAGGCATGTCACTTCAACCACTCAAGCATACTAACCACATCACTTTAGAACTGCACACAGGATTTTCTTGATCCATGGAACCTAGTGACTTGGGCAGGGCAATAACCTTCTCATCAGGAAACTGAGGTCCAGACAAGTTAAATACCATTCTACAGTGAGAGACAGATCTATGACCAGAATCCAGGTCCTAGGGCTTTCTACCAGAAACTCCAGGGGGCAGGATAGGCTCTGGGTGGGCTTACCGAGTGGAGGTCCCAGGCAGTGGGCGCCCCGTGTCCACCAGCACACACCAGCAGTAGCCAGTGGACTGGTGGCACTGCACTGGCTTATAGAGCCCCCCGGGAGCACACTCGGGGATGACGATGCCCTCGCGGGGATTTTGTCGGGCCTCTTCCAGGGCACTCTGTCTCTCCTGGTCACACGAGTGGACTTTCTCTGCAAGAGAAGACACAGTCTTCACAGGTGCTGAATATCACTCCTGCAACTTAGCTTCCCTACTTCTGTGCCCCACACCCAAAGGAAACAGCAAGACCCAGGCCTTGGCGCAGAGAACTGTGGCTTGCCTGCCGGATCACCACAAATAGCTGTGTCTGCCACCAGCCCATAGTGTGGGGACTGGAGGCCCAGAACCTCCTATGTCTGTCTCCACTGGCAGGATTCCTCAGCATTCCCACCCAATAGCTCCTGCTGTAGCAACAGGCTGGCTGGCACTCCTGGGCTGCCTCTTAGGTGGCCGTTTGCCCTCCCTGTTCCAGAAAGGTTCCTGCAGATGTACCGTCTGCTGGTTCCAGGAGGGTGGGCACAGAGGCTTGGCTGCTTGGCAGGAATGCCTGTGTTCCAAGACACAGCAGAACAGAGCCACAGGCTAGCCTCATGTGGAAGGATGCTCAGCACCCAAGAGGATTAGAAGGTGAATTCCGGCCCCTTCCTGCCCTCCAGCATGAATGAAATAGGCTGAATGCACTCAAATCCATTACACAACACTGCTTCCATCCCGTGGGAGAGAAAGCAGGCCCAGCAGGAAGGTGTCTGCACTTGTGGCGGCCTCAGGAGCATGTGAACACATCTGAACAGCCGAGCCTGGTTGCTCCAAGGCCAGCCCCTGGGCTGAGACAGTGCATGTTGAACTGGGCCGGCCCGGCCAGCTCCAGGGTCTCTCACACCTGCACAGCCCCTTATGGGAAAACCCTACTCAGTCAGCCGGTCAAAAGACTTTCTTCTATTTAGTGTTTTTGTTCTTACTTGTTATTAAAAATAAATGGTGTTGGGTTTCTTTTCTTTTGGGGGGTGGTTTCTTTTCTTATATAAAGACAGGTTTTAAAACATTCTTTCAAGCACCCTTAATCCCACCAGAGTTAAACACTGTACCTCCCCTGAATCTTCAGTTATGCCCATACACTTCATGCAAATACCCAGGCATACAGTGACTTACCTTTTTTTTTTATAAAAAGAGGGTCATATCACAAACTTTTACTATTACTTCATTCATTTATTTATTTAATAACATTATTCTACCATGTTCCTCTTAACGAAATTGACAGGAACATAGACTTGGCATCCTATGGAATTTTTCCAGTGTATTACAAAAACACCAGTCCTAGAGCCAGGAACTCGGTATCAGCAACCTGGAGAACCATGCTGTTCACTCAACACTGCCAGTGATCAAAACCACAGCAAGTCAACTCTACTTTAAAGTGGCCAAACCCCTTGAAACACTGGCTCTGTTAATGATACACACATATGTAAAGGTGTGTGATGAGACACCAAGCAGCCTGATGCTGTTTTAGAGTGAAGCCAGATGATGGGAAAACCATTCTCGTCTCACTGTGAGGAAAAACAACAGCTCAGTGATTCTCACTGCAGGATGAGGGGACTATTTCCCCAAAAGCATAAAAATATCTGAGGGACAGGAAGCAGGTATGTATAGCATATTCACCACTAAAATACAGTTTCGAATTTGGAAAATTAAAAAAAAACTATTGTTTTCATAACGCAAATGTAACAGAGCTAAACAGAATCCTCTTGGCCAGAGAAAGAAGCGTTGGACATAGTTGACATCAGACTAGGAATCCTGTCCCCAATGGGAACTCCCACCAGAACAGCATCAGGAGGACGTCTAGCAGAGGGACAGAACTGGGTGAGGACAGCGGCCTTGGGAAGGCTAGTGAAGGACCCAGAACTTTGCCTTCAGCCCCTGACTGGGAAGGTGCCATGGCAACTTCAGGGGGATTATGTAGGAATTTTTCAATCGCTCCCCCCCAATTTGGTAGCCTTATTTTCCTACCTCATATTTCATGCCATGAAAGAGGCAATAGAGGAGCAAAACCAAAGGAAAACATCTTTTTACTGGCACCACGTTCGTGTAACAACCTCTGACAGAGGCTTTAAATTAAGACTCCCCAGGCCAACCTTCTAAGGCCATAAATCAGACTGAAAGCGAGAAGCAAGGGGAGCAAAAGGAAATGTCTCCAAGGGCAGAGAGAATGATGGAGCTGACTTCACACCACTGGGGCCCGAGACCCTCAGACATGTGGACAGGAGCCGTCTGGGCAGAGGTGCAAACTCATGACTTGGGGCCTTGTTGGTGGATTCCTGGACGGCCCTGTGGGCTGCTTTCAAATGTTTATAGTCACTATCTGCGAAGGTCTATGGAGAACAAAATCCTAAAAATGATAAAGCTCACGAATTTGGAAAAGTGGGCAGCAGCACGTGGGTTTAAAGAGAAGGCTAAATGCAGGGCTTACCACTTTATTATTTTATTGCTTTTTATTTTTTATCTGTGTATTACTTTATTATAGTCCCTGCAAGCCTACATGCCCTCTAAGAAAAAGACGAGAGTGGTTTAATCATAACAGGACCAATCATTTGTGAAGAGTACACAGAGTTTGTCTTCCAGCAAAGAGAAAAGTCTTAAAATCATCTCTACAACAATAACAACAAAAGCCAACATCCATGGAATAACCTGTGCCATGTGATTGATTGAGGGCTTCACTTGTACCACTCCTTTGCCCATGTGAGGTGGGCACATTATTACGACCATTTAGCAGACAAGGAGGCTGGACTCTGGAGAGATTCATGGATTTTCCCGAGTTCACTCTGCCAGGAGAGAGGAGAGATGGGGATCCTGAAGGTCGAGCCCAGCCTGCTAACCTCTAGGCAGTGCTGCTTCTAACCATTTGCTCTAGGAGAAAAATACATGTATCTTTTACAGTAAGCCCTTTCAAGTGAGTTTCTCTGCAGCCTCCCCCAACTAAGTGCGCTCAGAATGAAGTGTGTTCGCCACAACACAGCTTCTCTTGAACCAATAATGTCTGCTCAGCTTGTGTCCAGTACAAATCTTGCACGCAAGTGTTTTTCTCTCTTTGCCTCAGACCTGGAAAACTTACAACCAAATTTGTAACTCACCCACCAACACAGAACTATAAAATGAATCACAGTTGTTAGCATCTATTCGAGTATTCACTGTGTGCTACACTTAGTAGCAGATGCTTTACCTGGGTTACCTCACTTTGAAGTCACCACAAGCCTCTAAGATAGGTGTTAGTATCCTCTCAGAGCAGAGGAGGATGCGGGGACACACACTGGCTGCATAACTGGATCAAGATCACAGAACTAGGAAGCAGCAGAGCTGGCGTTTCAGCACTCACTATGTTCTGCCCCTCTCTGCAACAGCATCTCTCATCGCCAAAGGCTAATCTGGTTTTTACTCTAACCTATATTTTTCTTTTAGTCAGTATGGGAGATTATGACAAATGGTCCCCAGTGAATTGCACCTGCCTGTATCCACACCTTGAGCGGACCCCTCCATATAGACTCTGACTCTCTTTGACCAAGTGAATGGCAGAGGTGATGCTGCGTGTCAGTCCGAGGCAGCTCCCACTTTCACTTGTGTGGAAGCTTCCCTGAGAGCACCACATAAGGAGGCTGGTCTAGCCCACTGAGCAATGAGAGGCCACCGAGAAGAAACAGAAGTGGTTCAGCCTATAGCCAGCACAACTGCAGGCATGCAAGGCAAGGGGAAAGTCCAGACCAGCCACTCCTCCATCTAGAGGTCAGGAGTGAAGTCAGATAAAACCAGTCAAAGAACCACCTCACCAACCTACATATACATTAAAAAGAATAGATTATTTCTATGGTTAGCCAGTAAGTCTTGAAGTGGTTTTTTACACAGAAATAGACAACTGAAATATCTAGATCTGATCGACCATTTACCAGTCTACCCTGTAAGTATTTCTGTGTCCCCTGCAAGACCTTCAATCAATCACTCAATCAATCCTGCAGGGCCTCTCTAAAGGTCACACAAATGTGAATAAGAAAGTACCAAGGAACACAAGCTCATTTCACACCTGAGGACCCAGAAGCCAGCCCATGCCCACCCTCTGGCCGCCACAGTCACCTCCCAAATGCATCTTGACGTGCACATCCATCAGTTTCCCCAGGTGCCAAGAAGTCGCCTTCCAGAATGCAAGACAGGGGGTCTATTTCACAGGTGTTTTCTCAGTGACCATGAGTTCAGAGAGGGAGCGCCCCAGAAGTGGGCACACACTATTTTAAAACATTCCATACTGACTAAGAACATTCTGCTTAGGAAAGTTCAGGGGAGGATGACAAGATTAGAAGTGCTGGGCTGGCCGGGACCCTCTGTAAACACTTGGAAGACATGAACACAGGGCACAAGGAAGTATCAAGCTGTCCGGGAGGGACGGGAGCACACGGCCACACATGCTTCCACACGCACATGCCAGCCTCTATAATCCTATCCCTGGGATGGTGCAGAGAAGTGAGAGCCAGGTCACTCCCCACTTGGCAATGAGTGGTTGGTCTCACTCACAAACCTCTCCTCTGTCTGAGAGGAGAAACACAACAGAAAAGCATCCGGTGGAAGAAATGAGACCACGCCCAGCCCTGCCGCCAAAAAACACACAGCCCTCTGGACCACCAGTTCCACACAGCACGGGGCAAGGAGGACCACGGTGCAGTGCAAGAGGCAGAGCAGGGCACAGGAGAGGAGAGACGAGGTTGGCCCCTGTCTCCAGGCCCAGGGCATGGATTCCTTCATGTCTCACAAAAGAGGGTGAGCGTGGAGCACAGGTCTGTCTGTTACGGCTAGCCCAGGCCTCCGTGCCTCTCAATCACTCATGGTGATTAGGAGCAAAGGGGAGCACAGATCACCTAAATCCTCACCTAGTCCCCAGTCTTGATTTTAGCCCAGAGTTTAGCCTTCTATCCTGAGAACCTTTTCTCTCTCATCATCTATTTTCTTTTCTCTTCTTTCTTTTCTTTTTTTTTTTTTTAAAGCAAGCATGGCCAACAAACATAAACATCACGGATTGGAGTTTGAGCTCTTGGGGCTGGGCTTCCTCTCTGTAGGCTGCCTTCCAGAGCAGGAACTGCTAAAACATGAATCGGGCAGAAAGGCTGAGCTCCTGGGTAAC